CATTCATTAGAGATCCGCCAAAGAAACAAGAGCGAACCATAAAAACTACAGAGAGGTCGATTGTTAGCTGGAGCAGAAGTAAAACGTACAAATGGAAGATATGCAGTGCCTAACATGTAAGGAAAGATGAATGATTTCTTTATCTTCGTTCATCTTCGACAAGAAAAGCTTCGAGACTATTGGATTTCGACTTCAAAGCTGCTCTTAGAAGAAATGGCAGTGTTCTCAAGGAACTGGAGAGATATTTGAGATAGTAGGACATTTTCCTTCAGATGTTTTTGAAGAGCTTCCCAATTAACCAGGCAATTGAGGACCAAGAGATGCCAAATTTCGGCATATTCCATAGTCTTTCGGCTCAAATAATTTTTACCATTGCTTTCGATGAAACGTTGGCAAAATAAATGAATGAGAGATTTCTTCAGCCGCTTAGAAAATAAACTACACTATGTTCCAGAATCAACGGGAATTGCATAGCTATTCATCTTGAAAAATTTGTGCAACTAATCATAAAATTACGAAAGCCGCTCTGAATCTATAGAAATCCTGTTAACGACTACCAAGTTGCCATTTTCGTCGAGAGTTTAGCTTACTTAGTACTGCTATTAGGTTGAAATAGTTTCATTGATAGATGAGGTACTCCTGACGCCAAAAGTGATTTTAACGCTATAATAGGTAAATCAGTTTTACAGCATCAAAATAATGAGACTGCTAGAAAAAGATAAAAGTTCGTGTTTGGCATATGAATGCTGCAGAGATACGCCTCCATATGACTGACCAAGTTTTGCCATTTTTGATGGATAACCGTCGATCCAAGGGCATAAGACAAAGAAGGGACATTAGATCGACTTCCTTCTATTTGCTAAGGTTTAGAAAATAATAAGAAGCTCTTAATCAATAATAATAAAGCAGGTTCAAGTTCAGAATATACTTTTTGCATATGCTCCCCTCAAAATCGTATGTTCTTAGTTTCTGCTCAATTTGCTCCATCGCGGTGAAATGTGACGTTATTCGCAGCTATCTGGCGCGGCGCATAATCGATAAGCACCCGGCCAATAGCAGGCGCAGAGATTACGGTCTCTGCAGCTCACTTGAAATCAAAGGGACCCCTGGAATGCCGGAACTATTCCAAATCTGAATGTTCGGCCATACTGAGGCATACATGCGCGGCTGTTGAGGCCGGATGTCATAAACATGAAACAGGTGCGTTGCCATATTCGGCGCTTTTTTTGGCCGAGAGCCAAGGCAGCAATTAGTGATGGACACATATGGCACCTGTTGCATCTTCATTATGAAATGTTACATCTCGTCACGTCAGGGGTGGTAGTCGTTGTTACAATCGCTAGCTGTTACGAGAGTAGTAACTGTAACATGCGCAGTTCATACTCCTTTTAGTTGAGTCAGTGAGGCATGTGAACGCATCTGCCCTCGCGATGGTGGGTCACAAAATGAGCCAGGTGAGCGTTAGGCTTAATCTGTCTCTTTTGTGGTCAGCAATTTAGTGCGGTGCACTAAAAGTGCCGACTAATTATCATCGTTGCGCTCACTACCGCCACTGCGCATGGTACGTAAGCACTTACAGTAGCTGGAGAAGCTCTTGTAGCAGCTCCCAGTCCTGCCGCGTTGTCCTCCTCAACGGATACAGGTGATTGGGATCCATGGCCATGGATCATGTAGGATTGACTGGGAGAGTGCACATTTCCGGAATACTAAACCAAGATCATTAAGAAGGTCAATCGTAGGCCCTAGAAGGTAATCAAAGACCATACCTGATAGTAAGTATTGTACTGATTGTTGTCGGTATACACATAGGTAGTGGTACTGAAAAGGACCATGATCTTGCAACACAGCTGATTGTGCGGATTAAAAGGGGCGTTCGAACACTTTTGGACAGTGAGTTCGCTCTATGTGGGCGGGTAATAGTGATCGAGTCAAAGACTATAACAGCAGCATGGGACACCTGGCTCACCTAGTCAATTAGGTCCTAGTAGGAGATTTACCTCTAAGATTGTGGCTAACGACAGCAGATTAAGCATGGAAGGGTAATCTACTTATCTTTTGGATGAAAATGCAGACTTTGAGTAAATGCAATGCCTTATTTTATAGTTTTACGACAACTTTTAAGTAAGCTCGAGCTTAAATCTTCTTCGTCAACGATCTCAAAATTTTTTAAGCTGTTAAAGTCATA